CTATTAATAGTAACATTATAATGATGCATGTAAGATCCTGAAGTATTCCAATTAATAAATAATGCATCATCAGTTAAATCAATGGTTGCATTGATATATACAGAGTCTAATGGACCTATGAATTGATAATAATAATAATGATGATAGCTGATAATGAGGCACTAACCTGGCATATTAATATTAATAGTATATGATTTCATTGTTGTAAATGTTAAATCTGAACAACCAACTGTCATTCCATTAGCAGACAATGGAATGGACTCATTAGTAGCAGTAATTACTGTTGTAGTACTGTTGATTAGTGTATATAGCAAAAAAGTACCAAGTAATTGTACAGTGTCATTCATTAGTTGAATAAGATCATTAACACTATTGACTGGTTGCCAATATGCTCCTGTATCACCAATTACACAAGTCAGTACTAGTCTATCACCAGGACACACTGGAGAATAAGGTGGATAGGTTTGAGTAAGCACTGTTGCTACAGTAACAATACGGTACAATAATATAAGATCATTTAAAATGCAGTAACTTACCAGATACAAGACTCAAAGTGCATCCAGTCAATACAAGACACCAGTAAATGCCAATAGTAGCCATTAGTATATCAGTAAAAAAAATAAGAACTGAAATACTGTTATGATATATAAACAATAAGCAACTACTCAAAGCAGTGTTGCTGTTGTTCTTCTCTGTGCCAACAACAGTTACACCTACTTTTTGTGGTGACTCATACTATGGTTATCATAACAATTAAGCATAGGTTCAGTGCATGCATGATTACACATGCATAGTATATTCAATCTTAATACTGGAATATTTTAATTGCAAGCTGTACATTACATTATGTGAAATAGATCTATAGAGATTGTTGACTTTTCTCTTATTTTATATATTAGTTTGTCCATATGCAGTGTTAAGTTTAGTATCAATAATTTGTTCTTGTTGTTCAGTATTGATTGTTGGTAAATCATATATTGGACCAATAACTGCTGCTTCTCCTCCTCCTCCTACTGGAGTTTTATTTTGTATTGCAGTCCCTCTCTTTTTCATTATTAAACATACAATGATACTAGTAATTATTGCAGTAATGAGTCCAGTTAATAGACCAGTGATAGGTACAGCAATAGCAACTGTGTGTGTGTAATAGATTAGATATACTTAATGTATTAACTAACCACTAATTGATCCTACATCTGTTGATTGTAACATTGTTGTGGTAATACATGAGGAATAACCTAATGAACAATATGTTCACTGTATGTATGTAGTACTGATTATTATAACTTACTCTCAATATAACTGCTTATTATTGTTTCAGTTGTTGTAATTAGTTGTGTTTCTGTGATTGTTGGTAATGCTGTCATAGTTGAACTTTTATCTTGTGTTGTGATATACTCAGTAGTACTCATCATAATGTTAGTGATACTTGATGTAGTAGTGGTTATACTGACTATAGTAATAATATGTATCTATACATTATATTAGATACTGATGCTATATACCATTAACAGTGACTAATGGTCCATATCCAATAACATTAACAGGTATGATAGTAACAGTGTAGTAATCATTAATAGGAGATAGCCCAGTAATAGTAGTATTAGTATCTGTTACATTATAACTGTACACAGAACAACTATTAATGCAAATTGTTGTAATGTATACATTAATAATGTAATACTCAATAGGAGGACGTATTGTTGTAGCATCCTAATAGAATCCATTATTATCATAAATAAAACTTTAACTTACTTCAATGTTATTCCACCATATTGTAATACTGTCAGTTGATATCTGATCCCAACTAATATTAACAACTTGAGCTGGTACTATAAGAAATACAATGAGTGTGTGTGTGTGTATAGTTTTTACCATTCCATATATACTGTATTAATGATGAAGGAGGTCCTTCTCTTCCAATAGTATCAATAGGAATAATAATAAATGAATAATTAGTACCAATAATGAGATTATTGATAATGTATAAGGCAATTTCATTTACTATATCCTCTTGAATGATTGTCTCATTACTGTATATTGTGATATTGTACTCATTTATACTGCAATTGTAATCCTGTGTGTATAATGACCAACTCATTGTTAGTGCACTATTGTTAATGGGATTAAATGTTATATTAACAATTGATAGGGATACTGGTGATCCTGTTATAGATTGAAATATTAAATAGTAAAATTAGGCTCTGACCTGTCAATGTGATAGTAAAAGTGGCATAATTGCCACTTTGAAGAGAAGCTGTACAACTAATCATAGTCCCATTCATTGATACGCCTACTGATTGTAAAGTACCAGTACTCGTAACAGTATTATCCATAATACTAATGACATTGAGTGTAATAGCATCTCGCACAGTTGATCTTATATTATTATTTAGTATTGATGCAATGCCAGTACTATCATTTCTCCAAAAGGTATTACCAGTTCCACTAGCTACACAAGTAAGTACTAGTTCATCATTGGGACAGATAGGATAATAAGATGGAGAGGTTTGAACTAACTCTGCTCCAGATGATAGCAAAAAGAGATCAGTCAATACAAGACACCAGTAGATACCAGTAGTAGCCATTAGTATATCAGCAAGAAAAATAACTGAAATATTATGTGGCTTGTTATGATACATAAACAATAAGCAACTACTCACTTAACTCAAAGCAGTATTGCTGTTGTTCTTCTCTGTGCCAACAACAGTTACTCCTACTTTTGGTGGTGACTCATATCTACTATGGTTATCATAACTATTAAGCATATGTTCAAGGCATGCATGATTACATGTGCATAGTACATCTGTATAATCAATTTAATACTGGAATATTTTAATTGCAAGCTGTATGTTACATTACTGTATAGTGGAAAATTTTCGTGACCCAAAAGTTTATGGATTTCGCATTTTTTCAAAATCCACAAAAATAAAATCCGCGAAAATTGATGAATACG